CTCATCGGCATCTTTCCCTCACACAGAGACACACACAGTCACAGAGTCACACAATTAAGTTAAAAAGTGCTACAGATGCCTACCATTACTTTCTTTTTCTAAGCTAATCTATTCTATTATTTAAAACATTATGGGAATTCCCTGGCGGTCCAGTGGTTAGGATTCTGGAGCTTTCACTGCTGCGGCCGGGGTTCAGTGCCTCGTCGGGGAACTAAGAATCCCCGCAAGCTGTGCAACGTGGCCAAAAAATAAAATTATGCACTTTTGAGCTGAGAACCAGTGAGGGCATTACCTTTTCCTCCATCTTTCAGCATTGTATGGAGCTCACTTATGGAAAAAGACTTCCTCTTAACTAGGGTTGAAAGGCAAGGAGCCCAGAGTATAAGAGCAACACATGCCCAGGATTACTGTAGCTATTGTGCATTGACTTGTGTGTCGAAAATGTGCTCAAAGTTGATATAGAGGCACAATTCCCTTCTCCTGTCCTCACTGTCTTCTCCTGCTTTCGACAAGTGGTCATGAGCGCTTATAATTAGCCCAGCTCTGTTCTGGACACTGGAGGTCAAGGGTGAGCGGCAGGTATGCAGCTAATGGCGCTTACAGTCTAGTGGGAATCCATGGACAGGGATCAGTGCTTTGAAGGACATTAAACACGTCTAGAGAGTGCCTGGGATTGGGGGTGCCAGTGTAGACCAGGTGGTCAGGTGGGCCTTCTCATTGCTTATGGTACCTCAGCTCTGAGACGTTTTATTGTGTCACTACAAGGCACTACTGATTTTTATTTTTTCGTTTATTTTTTAAAATTTATTCAAGTATATTTGATTTACAATGTTGTGTTAATTTCCGCTGTACAGCAAGGTGATTCAGTTTATATATATATTACATATATATATATACACACACACACACATTCTTTTCCATTATGGTTTATCACAGGATATTGAATATAGTTCCCTGTGCTATACAGTAAGACCTTATTGTTTATCCAGTCTCTCTATAATAGTTTGCATCTGCTAATCCCAAACCCCCAGTCCATCCCTCCCCTCCTCCCCTCCCTCTTGGCAACCACAAGTCTGTTCTCTATGTCTGTGAGTCTGTTTCATAGATAAGTTCATTTGTGTCACATTTTAGATTCCACATATAAGTGATACCACATGGTATTTGTCTTTCTCTTTCAAGCCACTGTTGATCTTTATCAGTGGGAATTGTGTAACAGAATTGTTCTATCAGGAGTTCAGGTTACTTAGAACTCTTTAGACTAGATTAAAGAGACTTGCTGTGGCCGTTTGGCTGTTAGAAAGTCATTTTTCAGGGCAAAGGCACCAACTCCAACCTGGAAGAGCCCGGTCCATCTGAGGGTCATGTATTGTGTGAGCTGGGGGCTGATTACTCTCCAGTTCCCAGGATTCTGAGCCTACCCTCACCCCTTAGAGTTACTGCAGCACCTCCTGTTGGTCTGACGTTTCTTCCCTTGTCTCCAGATGCCTTGGGTCCAGGTGTCTAGGATACATTTGTTACCTCTTTGTTAACAAAGCATTTTGTGGGCCTGGATGGCCTTTCCTTCTTCTGAATGGTTTGGTTTATGGCCTGGGCTCTTAATATTCCTGTGAAAAGCAGCCAGTTTTGATTTCCTCAGGGTTTTGTGTTCACAGGGAGTCGAAAAAGTTAAGGTTGTGCCAGAGCTGGTCGTAGGTGAGGGGGAGGGAAGAAAGGTATTACTTGCCCATTTCTGCTTCTTTGAGAAGGGGAGTTAGTTTGGGAGGCTGACTGTTCCCCTCCCCTCTCAGAAATTCTGGGCTATTCAGAAGGGCAGATGGCAGTGACTATAGCTTTGAGACCAACCAGGTAAAGGGCTAACTCTAGTTAGTTATAATTCCAAACTTTGGGGAAACTTGTTATAAACAAACGTAACCCAGAATTATGTCCCACCCACCCCCTTTTCTTTTCCTTGGAGAAATGTATATATTGGCGATGCATACCTGATGAAGGTAGGCTAGAGGCATGTGGAGGCGTTCAAGCAGGATGGGTGGGTACAGAATAGCCTCAGAATACCTTTTAAACAACATCAGATTCTCATCTGACTGTCCAGGCTGATATTCCTGAAGTGCCTGCCCCACCCCATCTTACCTCATCCTTAAAATAGACCTTGACTGACTTACCTAGACCTGCCCTCATATATGCCTAAGGTCTCACCTCCCCAACGTAAAGAGAGGCCTGCCAGGTGTCGCCATTCACCGCTGAGAGTTCTATGATGGGGGTGGCAGCTTTCCAGCCTTTCCCAAAAGAACGAAGTGCAGGAGAAAGTTCCAGGGAATAAATGATGCCAGCAGATCCGTTAGCCTTTTCTGTTTGAGACAAAAGAGGAGGAATGATTATGATCTTTTTTGGCCCCTTTCATGGTTTAATTTGCTTTGCATTCTTGAGGGTTTTCTTTCTCAAACTAGAATTAGGAGTTTTCTTTAACATCATGCCTGCCTATCTCTTCTGATGTGATATTTTATCACTTGTTTTGATTTTGAGAAAAGTTAAAAATCAAGCTGGCATTGTAGGATTTAAATGTAAGATCTCTGCCACCTCCTTCCTGAAGGGCTTTAGATGATCAATTACAGTGTGTTTTTAGTGAACTTTTGTCCCAGAGAAATGATGATATAAATGGTGGTTAATTCAGGATACAGGTCTAGAGGAGGCACTAAAGCCATATTGTAGCTGAGCTGTGATTCTAATATTTCACATCTCAGCACCGTGTCTTAGGCAGAGTGAGCCATCTGTATCATAGGAGGATACTGAGAAAGTTTTTTATTTTTCTTTTAAAAAGTTCAGGGATGGCCTCAGGCAAAAACTTAAAATACGTGAAGTTTATCTTAATTATCTCCCCCATGTCCTTTTTGGTATTTTTTGTCTTTTGCTTCAGGGCCTTAGTCCCTCCCTGTGGTTCCTGCACAGAAACGTACCTTTCTCCTCAAAGGGCTCCATGTTCTGAAACCACTCTGCTCTTCCTGTGTCCTCCTGTCATTAAAAACTCCCATTCTCCCAGGGCCAGGAAGGTCAGCCTTTTAGTTCTCCCAAAGCTCTATTTTTTAAGTTACTCTATTTTTAAAGAAATGTCTTTTCTATTCATTTTGGAAACTTCCTCTATGTGCTAAGTTTACACACATCCCCATTACACATCCATTGCCATATGCTCATCTATTAGTTTCTCTGTTTCCCTCACTTATGTCTTAGTTTTGGTTATTATTTATATATGGTGCTTGTTAATATCTGACATGTCTTTCTTTTGGATTTCTTTTTTTGACCTTCTTTAATACTCTAGTCAGTAGTTCTCAAACTTTGGTGCATATCAGAATCACCTGGGGAAGTTGGTAAAAATTGAGACCCAGGCCATATTCGACTTTTGTGAGCCTGGGCATCTATTTTTAATTAATTTTTCTGGGTGGTTTTGATACCACCAGAGTTTGAGAACCCCCGCTCTACATCTGTGCTACTCAAACAGGGGTCTGTGGACTAGTGCCGTTGACATCACCTGGGATCTCATTAGTACGGCAGCATCTCAGGTCTCCTCCAAGAATGAGTGCGTGACTCAGAGAGATTTCCTGGTGCATGAGTGCATGTTAATATTTGCAAAGCATTGGGGACAGTGGCTCTCAGCCCACACAGCATGCTGGAACCACCTAGGGAGCTTTAAGAACAATAGTGCCTGGTTCTACCTGGAGAGATTCTGTTGTAATTAGGCTTGGGGGAGGGTGAGGGGCGATTGAGATTGTTTTTAAAGCTCCCCAGGTGATTCTGATGAGCAGCTGGGTGAACCACTGCTGCAGATTCTAGAACAAAGCTTCCCAGCTGGTGTGCCCCAGAAGATGGGTTACAGGTGCGTGTAGATCCCCTCAGCTTCTGGGAGGCTGGGCAGAGCCTGGAGCTGCCAGAGAAGCAGCCGCATCGGTGTACCCCAGCTCATTTCTACGTAGCACCATTATTTTGTGTGGGTCATGACATGAAAATTATTGGGAAGCCTAGCTTGAGAATTCTTTTAAATTCAATTTTTTAGCTATTGTGTGGAGTGAAAAGTTAAGATTTTAATTAAAAATGTATCAAACATAGACATTAAACATGGACATGGTAGCTGTCTTTACAACCTAGAGCCATCTTGCCCAGGAGCATAGCCTTTCTCCATTTTTTTCAAGTTTTCTTGTATACATTTCCATTAGGTTTCATAGTTTCCGTTTAAAGGTATGTGTTTCATATTAGATTTGTTCCCAAAGTGTATTTTTAAAAAGTGTTTCATTTCCACTTTGACTCTTTCTAAAGAAATTCAAAGAGTTTTGTGCTTTCCCAGTAACCTCTCCTCTGTGCTTTGTTGTAATTTATCCCATGTGTCAAAAAGACCTCTCTACTCTCCCCTCTTCTCTTTGATTTTCTCATTGAAAAGTTTCCTCAACCTTTGTTGCCTGCTTTTTGTTCCCACAACTGTATGGCATCACCTGACAGATCTGCTGTGCCTCAGTTTCTTGCCAGGGCCACTCTGTTTTCCTAACTTAGCCACATTTTTCCAGTTCTCAACTCACAGATGCTCCAAAAGCATCACCCTGTCTCTCCTGTGTCTTTGAGCTTCCAGCCAGCTAGGGCTGGGCAGGATGGTGGTTATTTGTGAATCAGGTCTTCACATTACGTACCAACTTCTGCTGTATTTCTACGTAGTGGGTCTACAAAAACTTCTGTTTTTCTGGTGGCGGGGGGGGGGATAAGAGAGAGTAGAAAGTGTTTAATTCCTTATTTGTTGTTGTGCTTGCCTTCGTTATTTCTGATTCTTTAGTTGGATACAGAGATTTGTCTGTGGTAGACATTCCAAAAATGTGAGTCTCCACTGTCACCCGGGCTCATCCCCCCCTTCTCCTTGGTTGTTCAGTTCCACCCCAATAAACCGTGTGTGGTCCAAGAAGAGATTTCACATCAGTTACTCCATGAAGAGCTGGCTAGTATGCATTCAGCTAAGTTTGAGTCTGTATTAGGCACCAAGCACTTGAAATCTGGGGGTTGAGTGTAATTGCCTTCTAAATTGTTTCCTTGCTTTTCGACCCGCTCCAGTCCTTCCCCCAGAGCGCTGCCAGAAGTGATCCAAAAAGCACTGTCTGATGCTGTCGGCCCTGCAGAGACCAGTTAGAGAGCCACACGGTCCACACAGCTTCTAAGAAGCGTGCTCTGTACCTTGCATTCATGCCTTTGGGCCTCAGCCTTCACTCTGTCTGGGACCCTGGACTCTTATTCCCCTGGCTCACTTTCCCTTTTTGTGAACCTGACTCAGATATCACCCCTCGGGGAAACGTCCGGAATAATCCCAGTTCATTTCTCTGTCCTCTGTGCTTTCCCCTGGACTTTATACACACGATTCTCTCTTTGTTCCTTTGTTCAGCCAACACACATTATTGAGGGCTGTTATGGGTTGGGTCTGTTCTCAGTGCTGGGGTTCTAGCAGTGAGTGAGACAGACAGGGTCACTGTCCACACAGAGGGGAGGCGGGTAATCCAACAAACCGGAGGATGCTTCAGATAGTGATAAGTGCTCAGAAGAAAACAAGACGGCAGTAGAGTAGGGGCTGGATGGGTTTGGAGAGAGTGGCTGGGGAAGTCCTCTCCAAAGAGGTGACATTTAAGCTGAGCTCTGAGCAGTGAGCAGGGCCAGCCATGGAAGCATCTGGAAAGAAGCTGTCAGTGCAGGGGGAATAGCAGCAGCAAATGGCCCGAGGCAGGGAGAGCGTGGCACTCTGGAGCTACACACAAGGCCAGCCGGCGGGGCTGGAGCAGAGTGAAGGAGATGGGGTGGGGTGGGAGGTGGGTCAGAAGAGCAGTCAGGACTCTGAGGACAGACGGTCTGTTGGTCACGGTGAGAAATTTGGATTTTATTCCTGATTGCACCGAGAAACTATTGGAGGATTTTAGGCAGGGGAGTCAATCGTGTGAAATGACTTATGTTTAGCCTGAAGTGAACACTAAGTGTTGCGAGTGGCTTCTTGCACGTTTCTCTGGTAGACTGTGAGCTGTGGGAGGGCAGGCATTCTCTGCGGATCCCCAGCCCCTAGCCCAGGGTACTGTCAGTAGCCACTGGGGAATTTAATGAATGAACAGCCTATGTTTTCTCTTGATAAGCTCTGTTTAAGTGGTTGAGTCATTGACACCATGTAAGTAACATTTTCTATTTAATAAATCTGATCATTCTGGCGCTAGGACACTCCCTATGAATAAGGAAATGTCATAGACTTTTTCAAGACTCTGGAGTATTAGGATATTCTGAATGTCCTATTCAGCCTTTGAAGCAGTAGCACAGGAATGTTAAGTAGGATCTCAGTGACCAGAGAAGAATGAAAAGCCATGACATTAAGAAAGATGAAAACCATAGGTAGTACAGTAAAACCTCATGATAAGGTGAATACAGATATAACATCCCAGTGGCATTTGTTCTCAGGAGGCTGGCTGGCGTTATCTTCCGGCGTGTGGGGAGGTGGGGAGTAGGGGCTTGGTAGACATCTCCTGATCATCTGGGACTTTCTTAGTTCAATATAAGCGCCACTGAATATGCTTTAAATTTTATTATCTTTACTTTTGTGCTCTTTGAAAATACAGACCACCTGAGACAGAGCATTTTTCATTAACCACGTAATAATGACGCCTTGCATTTTGTATGATTGACATTTTTGGACTCGACTTTCACTGAAATGGTTGGCTTTTACTAGAGTTAGTATTTTTCCATTGTAATTTTTAAATTTTTATTTTTTATTTATTTATTTTTTGCGGTATGCAGGCCTCTCACCGTTGTGGCCTCTCCCATTGCGGAGCACAGGCTCCGGATGCGCAGGCCCAGCGGCCATGGCTCACGGGCCCAGCCGCTCCGCGGCGTGTGGGATCCTCCCGGACCGGGGCACGAACCCGTGTCCCCTGCATCGGCAGGCGGACTCCCAACCACTGCGCCACCAGGGAAGCCCTCCGTTGTAATTTTATTTCCAATTTACAGGTACTCTCTGTTAAACCCTGAGGCTTTTTTCTGAATCAGTTGGAAATTCTAATTTAGATCTATCTGTGTCCCATTAAATAAAGCTATACCTGAAAATCTCTTGTGGTGAAATCATAACCCAGCCCAGTGGGCATGCTCTAATGCGTCATAGCACCTGCTTCTAAGAAGGATCTTTTCTCATTACTTCTTTCCCCACATTCACTTAAAAATTACCCTACAGGTAATAGGGGGTTTAAAACATGGTAAACTGAATGCATTTTGGACTTCTTTTAAGTTGAAAATATTTTTCTCTGCAGAGACTTCAGCAACACAGAAACACTGTGTAGTGAACAGAAGTATTATTGTGAAACGTGTTGTAGCAAACAGGAAGCCCAGAAAAGGTACGTAAAGGGTTTAGCTCAGGGGGTGGCTTTGTGTCATCAGAAGGAACCAGACGGTGGAGCCCGACAGATCTGATTTTTGAATCCCAGTTCCATGGGCTTGTAGCCAAGTAGCTTTGGAGAAGTCAGTTACCTTCCTCACTGGTAAAATAGGATAAGAACGCCTACCTGGGGAAGTTGCCCTTTCGTCTGATTGTTTGTTCATCTGTTTATTCATTCAATGTGCCAGATACTTGTGCTGGGTAAACAAGTGGTGAGCAAGTATAAGCACTCTCCTCTTGGGATTAAAGGATTTTATAATTTTATAAAACGGATTTAGCATAGTACATAACACATAGTGGTCACCTGATAATACTGTTAGTATTGCCTAAATATTGGAACTTCTTATTTAGAAGACAGGCAAAAGAAAAAGAAAAAAATCATTTAATAAGGAATCACGAGGAAATCAATAACATCAGTTTGTGGATAGGTGATAAGAAAGTTATCATATTCTGAGTTGATACAGGACCCAGAGTTGCCCATCTTTTTACCAGCACCAGCCAGTTCCAGCTCTTGGACAGTGTGAAATAGCCAGTCCTTCCCTGTGTTCTGTCGCCCAGAAGCCAAGAAACTTGACATTTTAATTATCCTGTGAAACCTTACTGTGAGTTAAGTTTACCCTGCCCATGGTTGTGGTATATTCGGGGTAACTCACAGACGCCTATTCCTGCCGCCTAAAACCCTCAGGGGTCTAGAGCTGAGGTCGAAATAGTTTCTCTGCCCAGTCTCCCAGCCCTCCATCCTCAGACACGCACATCTTTTCTTGGTGCATCAAAACTTAAGACAGGTTAGTCACTGTGGTGGCAGGCAGGAGTTGTCACTTGCTAGTGGTCGAGGAACTCACCTCTGCTCCCACCCATGTAATCTAGGTCTTCCTGTGGGGCATGAAGGTGTTTTCTGTTTAGCCCTGGAGGTTTATACATTAAAATGTCATGTTCCTGAATAATATAGGGTTCACTATAAATCTTGTGTTTCTGCTGATGTTGTTATTTTGCTTATTTTTATGAACAGGGTTTTTACTCCATAGATTTCTGAGTAATATTCTCTTAAAATTTGTCCTTTACAAATAATATGCATTGAAAATGTGCACAAGTTGAACAGCATTTACACTGATTCAGGACCTTCATAGAGGGGGTCCTGGAAGGCAACCAGAAAATCCTCTGTTCTAGCAGAGTTATCCACGTAAAACTGTGGTCTTTGTGACTTCATACCGAGGAATATTAATGGTCATCTAGTGAAAAAAGCTTTCCATGTTTATGTAAGTTGGCGAAATGCTGCATCAAAACACAAAAGAAAATCCTTTTCTGCAGGATTTCTCAAATCCCTCAGTATGCTAATGTGCGAGGAGGAACTTCAGAATAGAAGGGAGCATTGTGCAGACTTGGCCCCAGAAACCCCACATCCGTTAACATCTCCAGGGCTCTCATGAGCCTGTTTGGGTAAATGTAGCCCTAAGCCAACCCTTGCGTTTACAAGCGAGGAACCTGAGAGCCAGAGAAGGGAAATCACTTGCCCAGAAGCACAGGGGTAGGGAGAGAGAGTGGGCCCAGCATGCCTGGTTATCTGATGGCCCGCGGTGGGCAGTATCTGAGGCATCCCTGCTGGTCGGTCCTCAGAGCCTGTGCGTCCAGACTACACCTTTCCGCTTGTCCTCTCCCCAGCCTCCTTCTCGCAGAAACTCTCCCCCATCGTCTCCATTATCTCAGGGTGAGGGGGTTTGTCCAAATACTGTTCTCCCTGGGAGGCAGAGGGCAGTGATGCAGAGCAGTTGCACATATTTTCGTTGGTACAAAAGTTCTGGGATGTCTCCTTTGACGAAACGGAGACCCCCCCGCCCCCGCCGTTGCGCTTTTCTCTGCTGGCTAGGCTCCAGCTAGCCAAGCCCGTAGAAGGCAGCTCTGCATAAGCGAGCATCCTTTTATTCTTGCGAGTGGTTTGGCCGTTTGTTTGCTGGTTTGAATTTTGTTGGACCCCTCCTGCTCTCCATTTGTGCAGGTGGTGTTGTATTCTCTTCCTCTCATGGGGGTTGGCTACCACTGATTTTCTACGTCATGGTTTCTTAGGATGAGAGTCAAAAAGCTGCCCATGATTTTGGCCCTGCACCTCAAGCGATTCAAGTACATGGAGCAGCTCCACAGGTACACCAAGCTGTCTTACCGGGTGGTCTTCCCCCTGGAACTGCGGCTCTTCAACACCTCCAGCGACGCGGTGAACCTGGACCGCATGTACGACCTGGTCGCGGTGGTGGTCCACTGCGGCAGGTGAGGGCAGGTGGGGAGCGCGGCGTGGGAGAAGTGGGAGGGCTGTCCCCGGGCCAGGTGGACCCCGCCGCACCCTTCCCGACTGGTGAGACTCAGCGGTAATGGTGCTTCGGGGAGTCTCCTCCAAGCTCTGGTTTATCTATCACGTCAAGATGAACTTAAACGTAATACATAAAATAAGATAATAAAAAATAAATTAAAAAAGTAAAAAATAAAACAATTGCGTTATAATAAAAATAATCTAAACGTTCTCTCATAAGGGAAATACTAAGTCTCCATTGGATATAAATGACGCTTATGGAGTTTGAAATCACATGGAGAAAGAAATGTTTATGCTATGATTTTAATTAAGAAACCAGGTTACACGTACAGTATGATCTCAAAAGTGGTTTAAGATGTGTGAATAAAGACTGGAAGCAGTAGATGGAATTTAAAAAGTTTTGGGCATTTTGAATGATTAAAATGTACTCTTAACAAATATTCTTTATGCAGTTTTTCGTCTTTCCCCAATATTCTATAATAAGTACATAATCAGATAAAAGGAGTAAGAGAGAAGACCCCTCGATGTAGAGAAGCAAAGTGTATTTGCTGGAAGTCTTTTGAGGAAGTATTTTTTATTCCATAATTTTGTGTAAGCCTGGAAAAGTCTGTCGGAAATTCACCTGTTTGCTATCCTTTGCTCGGCAGGGACGGGTCTGTGTCCCCTCCCTGGGATCGGCATGCCGTCACCCTTATAGGTTTCAGATTAGGGCCTGTCACAGAGCAGGTGTCTTTTCCTCTCCATTCTCTTGGATTGGGTTGTGGTGAACAGACCGTTACCAAGAGGATGTGTGGTTCCCCACGGAGGGATGGATGGATTGATTTCTTGCCCTGTACTGAGTGGATGGTATCAGAAACTGTGGCTTCACACCTGAAGCACCTCATGTTCTGTCCCATGCAGAGTAACTTTAAGTCACGGGTTATTGCCTTACGTTCTCAGAAAGTTGTATTTGTCGGTCAGTTATAAGCCATCTTTCCGTTTCCCCTGAAGAATACTTCCAGCGTCTTTTAAAGAACATAGGGGTTCAGTGATCTGGAAACTAGCCATGAACACTGGGTCGGGAGGAGGTCTTGGGGGCAGGCAGAGCCTGGTACCTGGAGGGTCTCTGGTGGCCGAGGTGGGCAGTGTGGACAGGAGGTGGAGAAGCAAAAGCAGTCAGGTGTGTGGGGTACGCAGGGGTTTTCAGTATGGATCTCTGTGGGTGCTGACTCTGGTCCCTGGGAACGCTGGTGAGGGCAAGGCAGAGACCCACTTATGAGAACTGGGGGGCAAGTAGGAGGCTGGGTTCTAGAATAGTCAGTGTCTGTAACTGGGGCACAAGGTCAGAGCAGCCCTGGCAGCAAGGCTGAGCTGGTGCCGAGTCATGCATGCTACTAATGAGGATTCTTTAAATTCCTCCCCACTAGAGGTGGAATTGTTTTCATACATGGAGCAGGTGGCTTCTGGCCATGGGCTCTGGAAAGCTCTGAGGTTAGGGAGCTCAGCCCTTCCTTCTTGTGCCAGGACCCCCAGCCCACAGTTGCCCCAGGTGCACAGCCTCCTTCATTGATTTTCTCCTGCAAGCATTTTTAAACCCTTGTTTCCTGGGTTCCGTAGCAAGATCTGAAGTTATAGCAGTGAACAGGACACACAGGGGCCCTACCCTCACAAAGCTGAGCATCTAGTGGGAAAGACAGATAGTTAATAAGTAAAACGCACCAGGCTGCAACCACCAAAACCAAACCACTGCAAAATCACTTTATGATTTTGATTAGTGCTATGAGGAACGATCGGGGCAATGACAGAGAGCATCGGAGGCACCTCTCTAGGGAAGGTGGTCTGCAAAGATTTATCTACCGAGATGACATGTGAGCTGAGGCCTAAGGAATAAAAAGAGCCAAGCAGGCAAACATGGGTGAAGACCGTTTCAGGCAAGCTCCAGCGGGCACAGAACCAAGATGGGAGCGGTGACGTGTATGAAAACAGAGGAGGCCTGTGGGCTGGAGCTTGGAGGGAGGGGACAGAGTCGCCTGACAAAGGTGGGAACAGACCCTTTGGGGCATGTTGTATTTAAAGAAAGCAAACTAAGGCAAATTCAGCTTTCCAGTTTTGATGGTGCATTGAATAAACAAAACAAAACTCTAGATTTAGAGTTAAAAATTCCCTCAGTTGTGCAGATCCAACGACATAGTAGCAGCTGTTTGGTTGTTCTTTCTGCTTTGTGTAATGTATCTTTTTGTTTTCGTGCTTGTTATTACACATTTTAGTGTCACATCTTTCTAAAACTTGAACCAGATCACATCATTCCTCAAAATTCCCCAGTGTCTTCCTGGCTCACTCACAGCAGAGTCCAGAATCTTAGCCGCGATACCCCATTCTCGTCCCTCCTTCACCCCGGGCTCACTGGGCTCTGGCTGCTTTGCTGTTGGGTGAACACGCCAAGAACTGTTCCCACCCCTCGCCTCCCCCAGACCTTTGCACTTGCTTTTTCCCATTCCCGACACTTCCATCACGTGGTCACGTGGCTTCTCTCTCTCTCTCTCTGTCTCTCTCTCTCACACACACACACACACACACACACACACACACACACACACACACACGCCCCTTCCCCTTCCATCAGGGAAACTCCTTCTGTTCAAATCTCCTGTCATCAGAGAGGCCTTCTTTCACCACGTTATTATATCAAATACCACCTTCCCTCTATCGCTCACCATCCCATTGCTCTGCTATATTCTTCACGGCACTTACCACCAATTGAAATATATTTGTATTTTAGTTTGTTTATTACCTCTCCAACCCTCATCTCAAGAAAGTGGGGACTTTGTTTCGTTTTCTGCTTTTTAGCCCGACAGCCAGAATGGGTCTGGCACATAGTGGGTGTACCATAATTATGTGTTAATATTTGTTGAATTTGAATGTCTGTTTCCCCCAGCAGATTGCGAGTCCGTAGAAGACTAAGATGAGGGTTTTCTCATCTTTCTCTTATGCCCAGCACAGCTCCGGCCCCTGGGTGTCCCTCCGTGAGTTATGGCCAAAGGAATGTGGAAATAGACATATATACCAAGTTCTCTGTCCTGAAGATAGAGGGTTTTTTTCCCCAGTAAATCACTGCATGTAGAGAGCTACATAGAGTTTTATGCAGAAATAAATGTTAACTTGGTGACTTTCTTTCTTCTTTTCCAGTGGTCCTAATCGTGGGCATTATATTACTATTGTGAAAAGTCATGGCTTCTGGCTTCTGTTTGATGATGACATTGTAGAGGTTGGTATGCAGATGATTGTATCAGAGAGAAGTGGGGCAGAGACCGTGTTTTGGGATGTGTGTGTGTGGACGTTTTCTAAAGTAGGCCTGTTTTCCCATAATCTGACTCGAAGACAACTTACATTTCTCTCAAAACTAAATTCTGCTGCTCCCCATTCTCTCTGGAAGGGGAGAAGGGGTGTGATCGTGGACTCATCGATACTGCGTTCTTGCTAACTGATTAGCCGTAGACATGGGATCTCTTTGCCGCCCATGTGTAAGTCCTGTTTCCTACAGTGACTAAAGCCCTCACTGGGACCAAATAATAAACTTCAAAGTTCTATTAAAATTCTTTTATTGTACCAGTTTTTTCTTGTATTGATTATTATTTTAAAAAATATATTTTTTCAATCTGTTAAACCTGGAAATCTTTATATGATACCAAAGTATTCCACATATTCATTTTGTTGTAAAGGAATACTAGCTGGAGAGAATTTCACACTCAAAGACATGGTCTGTTTTAGCCCACTTAAGGTAGCACTAAAGGGAATAAACTCTGGTGGCCTGAAACAATTAAGGTTATTCCCAAGAGCTCCCCCAGTTTACCATTTGGAAGACGGAAGTCCTGGCTTCTTCCAAGAGCGCCCACCTATGGTTGCTGATAGATTAAAGGGTGGCTTTCTTCCCCAGCGTTGTGCAATGTATGTAATCATGTCCCTCTGTCAGGTCTGTGGAGCTATCCATTTGCTATTGAAAGTTCCCCATTTTATGATAGTGTTTCTTACATTTTCTTGTGCATTCCCTTAGTGTTTCTTTCCTCCTCCCAGGAATCATGTTCAACCGTTGTATTGTTTTCTCTTTTGCTTGCAGAAAATAGATGCCCAAGCTATTGAAGAATTCTATGGCCTGACATCAGATATATCAAAAAATTCAGAATCTGGATATATTTTATTCTATCAGTCAAGAGAATAATTTAAAGGACTGTGGGACTAATTCGAGTGGGGAAACCTGGTTTCTCTGCAGACGTCCCTCTTTCCCAGCGGCCCACCAGCGGCGTGGCTCCGAGTTCAGGGGTCTGGCTGTGTGACTCTCCCCCTTCGTTTTTCTACATGCAGCACTACTCGTGGTTTTATGTTAGTCTGAGGTAGGGTTAACTGCAATCAGATTGTAGTAAGTTTTAGATGAATAACATTTGCTAATTTTAGGATCAGGTACATGCCATGCCACTGGCTGTGTCTGGCTGAATTAGAATGACGTTTCCTATGAACGTCGACAGTCTTTTTGGGGTCTTTGCTCATCTTCCTAAATGGCTTCCGGGGTCTCCTTTCAATGCATTCCTTTTAACTTGTCCCTGGAAACACCGCTTCCCGTTTTTAGCTTCTCTGCCTCTTTTCTGACAGAAAGACAGAAGAATGGGGTAGACACTCACCTTTTAGAGCTGCAACTATAGCTTTAAGTTTTGCCAGTGAAAATGTTTAAAAGTGAGTAACCTCGAAACTGAATTCGTCCTCCGGGTGGAACAGGGTGAACAGAAGCCGTTCGCGGTTGCTAGCGGCTGCCCCGGGCTGAGCTCACCCAGCCATGAGAATTCCAGAGGCTGAGGAGGTGTGGGGCTCAGGGCAGGCAAAGCCAAGAGGAGGTAGCTTTTGTGCACAGTGGAAAGTTGTTTTTCTTATCTTTCTACCAAAACCGAGTTTCAGGAAAATAGCTCTATGCTCTTTGTTTTTAGTGATGCTTTTCTTCTGTCCTGTGAGTTGTATCTCCTTTATCCGGCGCTGCTAAGCTTCCCAAGGTATCTTTCCGATCCTACTGGTGTTTCGCAGTCAGTGGTGGCAGAGCTAAGACACCACAGGGACTGCCTTGCGCCCAGCTCTCCTTAGCTAGGCAGCACCAACGCCGTCCTTTCCCAGGAAGAACGAAGGCTCTGCACCATTCCTCCCATCAGCCACATTGTACAGCTGTTCACGTTTGAGCATTTCAGTCTGTGTACTGAGGCCCTGGCGAGTCCCAGGGCTAACATGGAACCTTCCCTACAGGAGATACTGGAGTTAGCTGGGGATTCAAGTGGGTCAAAGGAAGTGTCAGTGGGCGGGTGGAGGGATGAACAAAATGGTGGCGTTTCTTTGGCTCAGACTCCCAGGATGCTTGACAAACGGAGTTTTTTGGAAGAACCTCATCTCACCGTAGTTACTTTTTGTTACCTATGTATTTATTAAATCTTTTGAGTATTGGCACCTTTTATTAAAAGGGTCGATACCGTGTTTTGCTGTTGAGCTGGTTTTTGGTTTCCTACAAATGTTATGAGTTGTAGCTCTTGGCTTCCTTTGGGAAGACAGTTGACTTCCATGCGCTATAATATACTGTGAACCTGTTATTTTGTTACCTAATAAATCAGCGAAGGAACATGCAAACTTGTGGCATAATGTGAACTAAAATTGAAGTTGAAAATGTTACTGGCCATTTTGCGACAATTAAGAGCATAGCACTTTATCTAGATGAAAACTGGATTTCTTATCTTTGAAGTATCTTGGACTGTTTGTCGCTCACAACTTACGTAAGCAGCCAACACTTCATCTGTTCATGCTTGAAGTGAAATGTTTTGCTTTTCACTGGAGAAGACAAAAGCAGGGTGATGTTCACGTTATTGTTTTATAAAAGTGATGAAAATATACCTTGCCTTGTTTAGAGGTGAATTCATATTTATAAATAGTTTGTCTTTTTTTCCTCCACAAAACTTATGCAGTAATGGCGTACCTGGAAGGTGTGTTTTTATTCTTTTTTAAGGAGAGACACTTTCCAGTTGAAGGTGACTGATAGAGGGAGCTGTTTGTACTATACATAAACCATATATTTGACTGCAGGTTGCAAAGTTTAAAAAAAACGCTTATCGATCCCTAATATATTTGGAACTGATACATGAGAAAAACTATTAAAATTATCTTTGAAATGACTCTTGAAGCTAATTTATTAGAAAAAAATTTTCAGTTGGAAGTCTAAGGAAATAGTATCTGAATGCTAAGTCATAGATTCAGTATTTTTTTTTTTTGATGTGTAAAAAGTTTTTCCCAGTGACTTAACTGAAATAATGCCTTGTAGTAGAAAAGGTTAGTTAAAATTAAGTATTCACGGATAAATTTTTGGAATAAAAAAATAAGTATCGAAGATAACACAAAGACACTAACATGGTTGTGTGTTGCAGGAAAAGAAGATTGAAAAAAAGACCAAAACACACTTATCCGCCAACACTCCATCAGTTTTTTAAACTTTAGAGCTATCTGGGAACTTCTTTCCCCTTCCTCTTTAAGAAACGAAAGAAACATGAGGCAGCTAGCTACATTTCCCCCTCAGTCATTTCACTTTATGTGAAGACTAGAGCACATAAACACTTCTTTATTTTTCATCCCTCATTCATTGTGTGAAGCAGAGATGGTGTGGGATGTGTGAGACCATTCTGAGGTCAACAATAGCACAAAGGCTCAGCAATATTCCCTCAAAGGGCCAGGGTTTTTGTGTGTCATTTTCTGGCAGGAGTGAGCAGGCCTGCTGTATTCCTTTTAACTGCTGGGTGTTTTAAAATAAGTTGCAGTGTTTTCCACTTTAAAAAGAGAAGGAATATTTGCTTTATTGGTTACTTCCTGTTTAACATCTAGATTATGTTACAGTGTGATAAAACTTTTGTTTGTTTGAAAGTCAATGTTGGTAGAATGCTGACGCCCAGTCCTGTTATTCTGATGCATTTTCCATTCCGAGGCAACACGAAGTGGGCTGGTTTGAAGAGAGCCAAGGAGCAGCACAAGAGGGTGGTGCTTTGACTAGGAAACCAGTCATATTGGTTTTATAGCCTGGTATATTTTGGATTTCAGATGAAATGGGGGGGGGGGGA